TTGAGGTTGTAATCCATCACAGCTGCAGGTTTTACAATGGGTTCATTGGTCTCTCTATTCTGCTTGCCGCTGTCTACCATTTCGTGTCGGTGAACTAGTGTCAACAGTGTGACACCACGTTTGTCATGCCACCGAAATGCCATGATGCCATTAGCAGCAAACACCTGAACATCACCTCTACGAGTGCCAGCGTCGAACCTAGGCATATGCTTACGATTTCCATGCACTGTGCCACACACATCTGTCATGTTCACTTGCAAGAAATCACTGAGTAAAGGGCTTGTGTACCAGTCGTCAGTATATAAAATATGCCCCTTACCAAGATATGGTTCCATCATTGTTCTAACCACATCACCAGAGATACCCAGTAACTTCCTGGTATCTTGTAATGTTTTACTGCCAGTGTACACAATTATATCCAAAACCAGACCAGTTTTGCAATCACACACTACAAATAACTTTGAAACAAAGCATTTCCTCTTGCTTGGTATGTACTGCTTGAGAGAAACCATACCCCCGGCCGGGATTGAACCCGCGGTCGTAGAGTCTCAAAACTCCAGCCCGTCGCGTTAGCCACTAGACCAGCTAGCCACAATAAGATTCATCCAACTAGGTATATTTCTACACCATAGGAAGGTTAGCACAGGCACCTCTGTGACCACAAATGCAAGTTTTTACAGACGAATCTCCAGCTAGCGTGGCCGTGACGAACTCTAGCTCAAGTCCCTTCACTGCCGTCAACATGACTCAAGAAATCGTAATGACACGATTGCAAACAAATCGTGTCATTACGATTTCTTGAGTCATGTTGACGGCAGTGAAGGGACTTGAGCTAGAGTTTGTCACGGCCACGCTAGCTGGAGATTCGTCTGTAAAAACTTGCATTTGTGGTCACAGAGGTGCCTGTGCTAACCTTCCTATGGTGTAGAAATATACCTAGTTGGATGAATCTTATTGTGGCTAGCTGGTCTAGTGGCTAACGCGACGGGCTGCAGTTTTGAGACTCTATGACCGCGGGTTCAATCCCGGCCGGGGGTATGGTTTGTTTGCAATCGTGTCATTACGATTTCTTGAGTACTGCTTGAGAGTCTTCCTTTGAACAAAATCAAAGACTCATTAATAACAAGCTTCCTGAAGGGATAAAAATACATACAGCACATTTGTTTCAGGTACATAAACACATTTCTGATCTTATATAACCTGTTGCTTCTGTCAGGCCTTGTTCTGTCTGAAAAGTGTAGCATAAGTAACAGTAGCACAAATCTATTCACTGGTATACTGTCACTGAAAGCTGGGGTTGAAATCAGGCAGTCTGTCGGCCAGTATGTGTCAACACTGTGCTTACACAAATGTGGCATAAGCATTATTGTGGCAAAGAACAGTTACATCCCTGCCACAGTTGTGTCCTTCCACTGGTGTAGGTGTGATCTTGGTGAAAGAATTGTTTGCAATGGTGTACTCAAAGTATGTATTGCTTTCCCTGACAATAATGTCCATCAGGGGTTCATCAAAGAATAAATGAAAGCATTCCAGTTCAGTGGCATTGTTCCCAAGTGTACATGATGGCCGTATTCCACTTCGTGTTTCATCAAAGTCATGGAGACTGGGAGCGAAATTGTCACCTTGCTGCCAATCCCACATGCGATCAGCTGGTGGGTTCTGGATATTGAAACGTGGTTTTGGTTGTGCAGGTTGTGGTTGTGGATGTTGTGGGAGTGTGGGGTTGGGCGAGGCTGGTTGTGGTTGTGTAGAGTCAGCAGCGTGGGTAGTAGCGTGGCCCGCTGTTGGTGTCACATGACTCATGCCACCATCACTATCGCCACCACCACCTGCTGCCTCACTCACATCATTCATACCCATCGTAACAATATCATCATCTTCACTATCAGTTCGTGGTGTAGGGCCATGGGATGTGCTCCGAGATTTACTCCTTCCCCTTGGAACAGCATATGACACACTACCAGACTGCATGTTACATCGTATATACTGCCGCTTCACTGGGAAATATTCACCCTCACTGTCGCAACTAGAACTGTTTTCAACAGCTTTTAAATCACTATCACTATCAATGCTCACATTTGAGTCTTGTACACAGGAAAATAGTTTCCTCTTTCGTCCTAGTACAGGTGAACGTGAATGAGCCGGCCCAGCACCAGAGGTGGAAGGTCATGGGTCATCTGGGTTTTCATCACTAATTATGTTATCCTAGGCACTGTTTTCAGTCACACCCACTTGAAAAATATGGAATTCACTTTCACTGACACTTCCATCACTGTTAGAGCTATCACTTGGGAACAAAAGACCTCCAACCTGCCGAGGAGTGAGGTACTTCTTACTGCAAGGCATGGTGAAAATGGACTACCAAGATGGCGTTCCCACAATGCACCACTGAGTCCCAGATCTTTTTCACAGGGGGCACACCCACCACTCATACTCATTCTCTCTCATGTAGGCCTACCAGCCTTCTCCTGCTTGATTTGAAGCCACTAGAATTTATGCGTACAGATATGTCAAACACAGTGGCTCGTAAGACGTACAGTGGTCCCTCAATTATCGTCCTTAATCCGTTCCTGGAAGTGGGACTATTATCGAAATAGACGATTTTCGAATCAATTTTCCCAATAAGAAATATTTTAAATCTAATTAATTCGTTCCAGACACCCAGAAGTATCAACAACAATTTTTTTTTACCTAAAAGACAGATTTACATGCGCAAAAGAATGAACATTCAACATGACAATTACCTTTATTGAAGGCTGTTGTTGATGACTGGAAGACAGGGAGGAAGAGAGAGGGAAGAGAGGTTATTGTTTGGAAGGGGAATCCCCCTCGATAAGGACTCTAGGTCACTTCAGGGGGTCACTTCCCTAGCATAAATATAGATTTACATGCAGAAAAGAATGCCAAATAAATGTAAAGCACTAATAAAATGTATAAATGAACATTGGTAATAAGGGTAGTTGATGAGTGGAACGGTCTTCATTTTGCTCTTTACACCCAGGATAACAGGCCTTTGAGAACCTGGGTTGTAATATAGTGTCTGCACTCTGAAGGTGGGGTGAGGATGCTACAGTGCTGGAAGTGGGAAGTACAGTGCCTGAACTCTGAAGGTGGGGTGAGGCTGTTACAGTGCTGGAAGTGGGAAGTACAGTGCCTGAACTCTGAAGGTGGGGTGAGGATGTTACAGTGCTGGAAGTGGGAAGTACAGTGCCTGAACTCTGAAGGTGGGGTGAGGCTGTTGCAGTGCTGGAAGTGAAAAGTACAGTGCCTGAACTCTGAAGGTGGGGTGAGGCTGTTACAGTGCTGGAAGTGGGAAGTACAGTGCCTGAACTCTGAAGGTGGGGTGAGGCTTTTTACAGTGCTGGAAGTGGGAAGTACAGTGCCTGAACTCTGAAGGTGGGGTGAGGCTGTTACAGTGCTGGAAGTGGGAAGTACAGTGCCTGAACTCTGAAGGTGGGGTGAGGCTGTTACAGTGCTGGAAGTGGGAAGTACAGTGCCTGAACTCTGAAGGTGGGTGAGGCTGTTACAGTGCTGGAAGTGGGAAGTACAGTGCCTGAACTCTGAAGGTGGGGTGAGGCTGTTACAGTGCTGGAAGTGGGAAGTACAGTGCCTGAACTCTGAAGGTGGGGTGAGGCTGTTACAGTGCTGGAGGTGGGAAGTACAGTGCCTGAACTCTGAAGGTGGGGTGAGGCTGTTACAGTGCTGGAAGTGGGAAGTACAGTGCCTGAACTCTGAAGGTGGGGTGAGGATGTTACAGTGCTGGAAGTGGGAAGTACAGTGCCTGAACTCTGAAGGTGGGGTGAGGCTGTTACAGTGCTTTAAGTGAAAAGTACAGTGCCTGAACTCTGAAGGTGGGGTGAGGCTGTTACAGTGCTGGAAGTGGGAAGTACAGTGCCTGAACTCTGAAGGTGGGGTGAGGATGTTACAGTGCTGGAAATGGGAAGTACAGTGCCTGAACTCTGAAGGTGGGGTGAGGATGTTACAGTGCTGGAAGTGGGAAGTACAGTGCCTGAACTCTGAAGGTGGGGTGAGGCTGTTATGGTGCTGGAAGTGGGAAGTACAGTGCCTGAACTCTGAAGGTGGGGTGAGGATGTTACAGTGCTGGAAGTGGGAAGTAATATGCCTGAACTCTGAAGGTGGGGTGAGGATGTTACAGTGCTGGAAGTGGGAAGTACAGTGCCTGAACTCAGGTGGGGTGAGGATGTTACAGTGCTGGAAGTGGGAAGTACAGTGCCTGAACTCTGAAGGTGGGGTGAGGCTGTTACAGTGCTGGAAGTGGGAAGTACAGTGCCTGAACTCTGAAGGTGGGGTGAGGCTGTTACAGTGCTGGAAGTGGGAAGTACAGTGCCTGAACTCTGAAGGTGGGTGAGGCTGTTACAGTGCTGGAAGTGGGAAGTACAGTGCCTGAACTCTGAAGGTGGGGTGAGGCTGTTACAGTGCTGGAAGTGGGAAGTACAGTGCCTGAACTCTGAAGGTGGGGTGAGGCTGTTACAGTGCTGGAAGTGGGAAGTACAGTGCCTGAACTCTGAAGGTGGGTGAGGCTGTTACAGTGCTGGAAGTGGGATGTACAGTGCCTGAACTCTGAAGGTGGGGTGAGGCTTTTTACAGTGCTGGAAGTGGGAAGTACAGTGCCTGAACTCTGAAGGTGGGTGAGGCTGTTACAGTGCTGGAAGTGGGAAGCACAGTGCCTGAACTCTGAAGGTGGGGTGAGGATGTTACAGTGCTGGAAGTGGGAAGTACAGTGCCTGAACTCTGAAGGTGGGGTGAGGCTGTTACAGTGCTGGAAGTGGGAAGTACAGTGCCTGAACTCTGAAGGTGGGGTGAGGATGTTAAGTGCTGGAAGTGGGAAGTACAGTACCTGAACTCTGAAGGTGGGGTGAGGATGTTACAGTGCTGGAAGTGTTAAGTACAGTGCCTGCACTGTATCTTTTCTTATATTCGAAAAGCCCATTATAAAAATAAAGTTTTAGTCTTATATGACCTTAATTATACTACCTTACCCATTGAGTTGGGGTTATGCGAGACAAGGGACATGATGCTAAAATCCGTGTCCCTGGGCGGCGGAGGCGGTGGTGGGTGAACAGCCTCGCCGGCACCGAAGACACTATGCTGCATCACCTGGCCTGCTGGAGCACTCATCTGGCGCCCTTCTTGTAGTGCCAAACTGTCCTCAGCCATGTAAATGCTGAGGAACTGGGCAATATCTGGAAGCTCTGTTGAAGGCTGCGGCAAGGTAATGGCACCCAGATCACCGTCCATTTTGCCTGTGGATAGCAGGGACCTGCAATACAGAAGGATGATGAATCAGACACACGAGCAACACCTGGGTATATTTACTTGTAGACATTTCACCATCCAGTAGTTTAATTAATAAGTAAGTTTATTCAGGTATACACAAATAGTTACATAGGTTATCATACATAGCAGCACATGTGTAGAGAACCTAGCATAATCCCAAAAATTTACATAGACATGTAATGAAGACTGCAGAAATATATACAGCAGAGAGTGGAAGATGAGATAATCAGTCCCTCAGCCTAGGATCAGGTGATGAATACCAGTCTTGAAGAATTTGAAGTACAGGCAGGAAGATTAGTGCTTATACAGTGGACCCTCAGTTAACGATATTAATCCGTTCCAGAGAGCATGTCCTTAACCGATTTTATCGTTACCCAAATTAATTTTCCCCTTAAGAAATAATGGAAATCCAATTAATCCGTTCCAGACACCCAACAGTTAAAAAAATAATTTTTTCACATGAAATATTCATTTTCCTACACAGAAACAATGAGACATGCAGAATAAATACATTAATAATTCATAAAATGACATTTACCTTTATTGAAGATTTAGTGATGAGATGGGATAAGGGGAGAGGATGGAGGTGTATTATTGTTTGGAAGGGGAATCCCCTTCCATAAGGACTTCAGGTAGCAAGTTCTTTTCAGGGGTTACCTCCCTTTATTTTTTAACCCTTTCAGGGTTCGTGCCATAGATCTACGGCTTTGAGTTGAGGGTCCAAACCATAGATCTACGCCATGAGCTCAGCTCACTCTGACAAACTGTGAGCGGTAAATTTAGGTCTAGATATGAGAGAATACATCTATGTGGTATGCGTGCACCACATATAACAAATCCTGCAGCACACAGTGCATAATGAGAGAAAAAACTGAGACTAATTTTCAATTAAAACAACAACTTTGCATTGTTTTTTCGTATGCTTTTTATAGTTGTATTTGCGATTTCTTGATCTCATTTAATTTCATCCTCAGAAGGATCTGAGTCAAGAAACTTATTTTCATAATTTGTACAGTCTGAATTAATTATTTTCAGACGTTGTGTAAGTAATTCAAATTTGACCTCAAGATCATCAAAATCTATGTCTGTATCTTGAGTTAATCCTATACAGGAGGGGGGAGGGGATTGTTGGATGGGTGGTGTAGGATATGTGGAATGGGGTGGGAGCATGAGCCGGGGGCTGGGAGGTGGGGTGCGAGTGGCACTTGCGCACTTGTTCCCATATAATTACACTATAGATTTAACACTACACGTGGGATTAAAAAGATTAACTCTTATCCACAAGTTCAGTTCACTACATCACTCCTATTTATATCCTTTTTCCTCGTTATAACACTTGTACGATAATTTACACTTCACTGTCACCTCTGACAATTTTTTTTCGCTGGTGATGGTCGACCCATGAATATATTCCATATATTATGCACTATGTATTGGGTACAGTAGGGCCCCACTTACACGGCAGGTTAGGTTCCAGGCTACCGCCGTAAAGTGGAAATCGCCGTAAAGTGGAACACCCTTTTTTTCCCCTTATAAATGCATACAAATACTAGATAACAAGTTTACACTAACAAATATTAAGTTAGCAATAGAACTAGGCATCAAAAAACAATAAAAAAGTACAATACTTACCTTAAAATATTTAGTCTTAATCTAGAGTGAGACAAGTAGTATTTATGGTAAGAAATCAAGTGTGGTATATATGGTAGTCAGCCGGACTACCATACCAGGAAACCTCACCTAACACATATTCTATTACATTTAAGCATCCTAGAGCGATAAAATGCATATAGAGTGGACCTCGCGTTTCATGATTAATCCGTTCCACAGATCCCGCCGAAGGTCGAAATTCATGAAACTCGAAACCATTTTCCCCATAAGAAATAATGGAAATAAAATTAATCCGTTCCAGACACCCAAAAATATTAAAATAAAATATTTTTTTTCAAATTAACCCTTTGACTGTTTATGACGTATAAATACGTCTTACAAGCCAATGTTTCTGATGTATTTATACGCACAAATTCTAGCGGCTTCAAATCAAGCGGGAAAGGCCTGGTAGGCCTACATGAGAGAGAATGGGTCTCAGTGGTCGGTGTGCACCCTGTGAAAAAAATCTGGGACCAGCAGTGCATTGTGGGAACGCCATCTTGTTAGTCCATTTTCACCATGCCTCTCGGTAAGAAGTTCCTTACTCCTCGGCGGATTGGAGGTCTTTTGTTCCCAAGTGATAGCTCTAACAGCGATGAAAATGTCAGTGACAGTGAATTCCAGGGTTTTGAAGTGAGTGTTACCGGAAAAAGTGCCCAGGATAACGTAATTAGTGATGAAAACCCAGATGACCCACTACCTTCCACCTCTGGTGCTGGGTCGGCTTGTTCACGTTCATGTTCGCCTGTACCAGGATGAAAGAGGAAACTATTTGGTCGTGTACAACACCCAGATGATAGCAGTGAATGTGATAGTGATAGTTATTTCAAGGTCACTGAAAGCAGTTCTAGTGACAGTGAGGGTGAATATTCCCCAGTGAAGCGGCAGTATGTACGACGTAGCATGCGGTCTGGTAGTGTTTCATATGTTGTTCCAAGGGGAAGGAGAAACTCTGGGAGCACATCCCCTGGCCCCACACCACACCCGATAGTGA